TGTTATGATTTCAAAATTGTAAATCGAAAAAAACTTGTTTTTATATCCATGAATTCCCAATGCTCATACAGCTATAGAAATGATGCTATTGACACGATATGAACGATTAATGTACAAAGAAATAGGTAACTATATTACATACAATGATTCTCTAGTACTTTTAAAAATCTTCATAATTAAAATTTTAAATCATTAAGTGAAAATGATCATGTTTAAAATGTGAACCTATTTTAGTACAATATGTTATGTATTTTATTCAACTTGTTAAATATATCGTTAGAATATAGCTGTTGATCATTATGTATTAAATAATTAAAATTAGACTACATATTTACACAAAACGGCTGGATTACGATTAACGCAAGTGCCTGTAGTCTAAATAAAAAAACTCATTTCAGTTTAGTCAAATAAACGTGTACTTGTCTATATAACAAAAGTATACTCTTCTTGAATATAAGTACAATAAGCGCGTTTCGATTTTATAATTATTACTGTTAAAAATGTAAGCATATATTTCTAATTATTTTTTCCTGAAGCGACCGTAATGTCTCACTGACTAATAATGGTGATTTACCATAATACATATTGTGGATATGACATTACTGTAGTAAAATATCTTGGGGTTGACTCGGAATCTACGGGATTGAACTGATAATTCGATTTGCCATGGGTTATGCTTTGCACTCGTGAATTCGTGGCTACTCGGTCGACATACAAGTACGCAATCTTAGAAACACACCTAAGTATACTATACGTATTGAATTACGGGAAGTTTATAAACGCGGCCCTGCATCAGCGCGTTTTTAGACGTCAAAACGACAGACCGTGTGTGCACTCACACTACGTAGTGTGTGATACGCATACATATATATGTATATAAAAGTATTTATGCTGGCGGCCGACGGAACAGAAAAACCAGCCCCTCCGAGCATATCGGGGTTTTCAATGCATATTATACACCTACATCGTACTACACATTATATCTTTCTCTTTCACGTACGTGCATTATACTTTATATATACACGTCCGTAATATATAAAAGTTCGTATCGCATCATACCGTGCTTGTGCGTGCGAGCGTGTACGACCGAAGGCGGAAATCATTTTTCCCCCTTTTACCCTTCTATCCCGTTCACGTCCCTTAGGTTTTCCCCCCTCACCGGTCTGTATATATGCATACAAGTACGTATATTTATATATATATATATATGTAACTTTTTTTTTGCACACCCCTAAAACCACTGTGGGCGCGACGACTCTAGCCGGCTAGGCACAGCCCCGGTAGACACTTTTCACGGATTACCTGACGCTTCGGTGCTTGTGTGTATACGTGCGCCCTGCGGTGCTGAGCACGCGTCACGACCGGGACGATGGAAAGCTGCGAGTGGGACGCGCGTCCAAGGGATGGCGGAGGAGGTAGCGGATGTCGATAGGGGCAGAGGGGTGGAGAACGCACGATACCCGAAGGCGCACCCGTAGAGTCCGTGGGCGGTGTGCGACGGTCGTCGGGCGGTGGGATGGTGGAGACCGACGCCGAGGTGCGCTCATGGGGCGGCGCCTGTCGCCCCACCGGCGTCGCAGGGTGTGGTCGGCCGTCGCGAATGGAAGCGCTCCGACGGCCGCCGGGACCCGTCACCGGCTTATCGATCACGGTGTCCGTACTCTTCCATCCCTTCCGATCCACACCTCCGTCCCACGACGACGTTCCGGACAAAGGCTCGCGCGCACGCACACGCATCCTCCGCTACCCCTTCGTCGGTTCGGACGACTAGCTGAGCCCGTGGATTTCCCCGTCAGTGTTCACGAGTCTAGTGTACGCGGCGGTCGTCGTCGCAGCTCTATTTATTTCGTATAATTATTCACCTGCATTTTTCAACATCGTCATTGCCTGTCGTCAGTATCATCATCGTCATCGTCGTTGTTAATCCCGCCGGGTCGTGTCTTGTACACCTGATTTACACCACTCTCGCTGCCGTCCACTGTGTCTTCGCTGGAAGGCGATCACAAGTTTTCGGGAGTTAAAACGGTTTTTATTTTCCTTTTCTCTCTTCCGTTCCGCCGTACCGTTCGCCGCCGTATATTGGACTGCATGCGCTATGATCCGATGACCCGTATGACTAGTATGATTGTTTCAACGGTCGAAAATGATAGATTCGTCTTTGCACGTCAGCAATGAGGAATCAGACACAGCTGACTGGTTGCCGAACTCGTTTTTGAGATTTTTCCAACAGGACCTGAACAACATACCGGTGAAACTATTAGGTATATGTTGCATTATAAGTATTTATATATGGTACATTAGCTCGAACGATAACGGTTGTAACTCGCACGTATGAATATTATTTAAGGTTTCCACGCGCTATTATTATTGTAGGTACCGTATGATACGATATTTTATTCGAACGTTGTAGTGTGTCTTCATTTGCATTGAATGAACCGAGTCGATGATGTCGATGATATATTTTTACCGATCTGGTATACTCGATAAGTACCAACGGTTCAATAATATTTCACCGTCCGTTATAAGATAATAATTATTAAATTATTTAAGCGCACGTTGAGTGTTAAACGGTATAATTAAATTTCATACGTTTCTTCCAATCGGAAATTTTATTTTTTAGAGAATACATATGAATTATAATATATATATATATATATTATTTATTATATATTATATATATAATCATATTACATATTATGTGTAACTTATTGGTACATGTCGCCGAAATATTATCAATTAAAACTGTAATCTTTCAAAGTTTTTTTTTAATTTTTTTTTTTTATTAGCTTCTAGTGTACAACTATGATTGCTGAACAATTAATTAAATCTTTCAAAGTATAAAAATATGATATTATTACGGCATTATGATGAAATAATAAACCACTTATAAGAAAAACAATTATAAAGATATTCTTATCGATTCTCATCTCATTTATTAGAAATATCATCAAATACAACGTCAAAATCTAAATTTTACATGTCTCAAAATGATTAATTTCGGATTTCTCTGCAAAAAAAATATGCCAAAATGAACAAATAAGAATTGAAAATTTCGTTTTTGTGTGAATCAGTATTTTTGACATTGGAAATAACAAAAACCAAAAAAATATATTAAGAATAAATTACGCATATGTTTGTCAACCATTCAACCAAAAATCAAAGACCTATGCAGATCCGGTTCTTAATGAACTAATACTGTTTAACAAAGTAAATTATATATATATTTTTAAACATTTCAACATGTATTAATTTACAAAGGTTTAAAATTATCAAATTTCAAAATACATTAACTATATCAAACGTATCGCTATTTTTATAGATCTAGATTAAGGTGTAGTCATACAAAAAATACTGAGAATCACTGTAACAATAACCATTTTTGTAATCATTTGAGTAATCACATTATCCATTTTATAAAAGTTATATTATAAAAATAATTAAGGTTGATATAGCTTTTAAGTACAATCGAACTGTTTAAATGTTTCAAATTTGAGTTCAATTTTGGTTTGGTAATCAAACTCTAGTTGTATAAACTTTAATATGACTGATATCCAATGAAAAGTTCAAACTTAAACAAACACCTTAAATTCAAAAATGAAATTTTAATTTTAATTAAAACTATAACAAATGTAAATTTTAACCAAAATAAAGTGTATGTACAGTATTCTAATACAATTCTGTAGTTAAGTAATTGTTAACTTGTTTGGTGTGTAGATATTGAAGTTTCAAGTTCGTTAGTGAAAATATAACGTACAATAAGATATCAATTATAAACAATGTAGTTATTATAATAAATTATTATACCTTAATAATGTGATTTACTGATTTTATTACTAATCAAACAATTATTTATTATTAACCAATTATTGGTTAGATCAGAGGTTCTCAACCTTTTTTGACTCACGGCACCCTTTATTATTTTCTAAAAATTCGGAGGCACGCTATAACCTATGCCTTATATTCTATAGTTTATACTGAATACGTAATAGTAATATATCGTATATTTAAATTTATATTTTGTAACTTCGGTTTTATTTAGCAATTAATAAAAAATAAAGATAAGATAAAGTCACAAGTTATTTCACTGTAAATAACTTTTAAATAGTTCACATCAAATCGATAGCAATTGAACCAGTATGAAAATTATATAGATTGAACATCGCAGTATTACTATGTAAAAATTATATGTGTTATATAATTAATACATCAATTTATATTGTATATACCTAATTATTTATACACAATCTGTTTTATTACTCAAAGTGCTATATTTTTCACGAAGACGTTTAAAAAATAAATATATATTTCAAATAATTTCGCGGCACCCAGGGACGCCCGGATGGGGGGGGGGCCAGTAGGGGCCATTGCCTCCCCTGAGATTTTCGCGTCACTTACAAAATTGGAAGTTATTTTACATAAAGCTGATCTTGGGTATTCAGTGACTATTCGACAATCCTTGTATCTAACAAGTATCTAACATTTTTTTAATCAACAAATGATGATTCAAATAATTTATTTGCTTCAAACAAAAGGAGATTGTCATTACTTTTTGAATAAAATAATAAAATATGATGCGAATTCAATCACATAAAGTTGTTTTTTGTTTAAACTTTATTATATTTTTTCTTATAAATATTAAAAATAATAACTAATAATGTAATTTTATATAAACTTAAATGAGTTTTGATTTTTAAAAAATTATTAATGATAGTAATACAAAATATGAGTAGATGAAATATGTAGCAGTAAATCTTCCTATAAGTGTTTAGGTACTTACAATTTTTTTGCCCCCCCCCCTGAGCTACATTTCTGTGGGCGTCCCTGGCGGCACTCTAAATTTAAGTTCGCGGTACCCTAGAGTGTCGCGGCACCCTGGTTGGGAACCTCTGGGTTAGATTAATTTTACAAAACTTTTTAATTTTTTCTTTATTTGCAATTAACCTTAAGACCAAATTACCATTATAAGTCGTTACTAATTGCTTATTTTAATAATTTTTCAGCTAGTATACCTAAGTGTGGTGGTTGTCAAGAATTAATTCTGGACAGATTTATTTTAAAAGTATTGGAACGTACTTGGCACGCTCGCTGTTTGAAGTGCAACGAGTGTGGTGCTACATTAGCCGACAAGTGTTTTGCCAGAAACGGAATGCTGTTTTGTAAAGACGACTTCTTTAAGTGAGTACAATTTATGTATGCGAATAAATAAAAAGTACAATTTATTTATACCATTATGAAACGCTTAACATAAATATAAAATATAAATAAAACTATTATTTATATATTATTTGTATTATTGAATCACAATTTATATATTTATATTTAAATAATACAAAGTAAATATAAATTATAATAAAACGTAATTTTTACTCCCTTTTTAATATCGGTATCGAATTAGCTAAAAATTAAAATTTTTCATTTATTATTATATACATATATTATACAAATTTAAATAAATAATAATTATTTCTCTTTTTATATCAGAATTAAAATAAATTACAACATTTTTATAAGATAATAAAGATCAAATTTGTAATTAATTTATATTATTTAACAAATAACTAAATAGTAAATTATTAAAAGTTCAAGTAAAATTGATTTATATAAATTAACTTTAATGTATCTACACTAATTTTTTTTAAACTCTTATCTTAGATTGTACTCTAAAAATGTATAGTTAAAATCCAACATTTGGTAAATTTTATTTTTTGTTATCATTTTCACATTGTCAAACGCTTTCGAAAAATCCTAAAAATAATTTATTTAGTGTTATTTTAAAATTCTTTAACAATGATTGAACTATAAAATACATGTATAGAATAAATATGTTTTAATAAACACATTAAATAGCTACTGATATGTTTGAATCTTAAATGTAACAAAGAGTAAAACAAAATAATTAAATATATCTAAGTAATACAATTTTGTAAGTATTATCAGTTCTATAGAAGTAATATTATTAGAACGTGGTTTTAAATTCAGTAAATCATAGATGCGTGAATATTGTGTACGATTAAGTGCAGTCAATTAAAAGGCAATAGAAAATAATACAAATACATGCAAAACTATAGTTAACTTATTCATTTTTGTATATAATTCTATCAGTATATTTTTTAAAAAATTTACTTAAAAATTTTCATTTTCACTTAGAATGTTAAGAATATATTCCAACTCAAGGGATTCATTTTTAAATTTTTAACTATACATTTTTACGGGTTTTATAATCCAATATACTACTATTTTCGTTTATTATACCAAACCGAATTAAATGTTATATAATTGATAGCAAATACTTATTTAGAGACTAATTTTTGGTGTTTGTCAGAAGGTACGGGACAAAATGCGCCGGTTGCGATTTGGGAATCCCACCCACACAAATCGTCCGGAGGGCTCAGGATCTTGTTTATCATCTACAATGTTTCGCATGCGTTATGTGTGGTCGCACATTGAATACTGGAGATGAATTTTACCTTATGGAAGATCGTAAATTAGTGTGCAAACCTGATTACGAAGCAGCCAAAACCAAAGGTATGTTTTAAATTTAAATTATGTTTTAAACGTTATTTCGCAGTCGTAAATACAGAAAATTACATGTGAATAAAATAATTTGATATGTAATTTAAAATATTTTTCAGAGGGAGGATGCCTGGATGGTGATCAACCAAATAAGCGACCAAGAACCACTATCACGGCCAAACAATTGGAAACATTGAAAATGGCATACAACAACAGTCCAAAACCTGCTAGACATGTAAGGGAGCAACTAAGTCAAGACACTGGATTAGATATGAGAGTGGTCCAAGTTTGGTTTCAAAACAGGTAAGAACTACAGTATTATAATATTTTTGTAAAATATCTCATTCATTATATTATGTTATATATTTTTTATAATATTTATTATTTTAGAAAGATTAACAATTGTTGTAGTATTTATTTTTTTCAACGTTCAATCCTTGAACAATTCATCTTAAACAATTAAATTGTGGTTTAGTAACTCGTTCGAAGTGTGCTTTTTGTACCAACAAAAAATCCAACATTAATTTATTTTTAGTAAAATTAGCAACTTGTATATATTTTGGTTGAGAGTTCTCTAAGTTTTAATTATTTATATTTTATTTGTTTTTCTAATCTATAGTTTTTTTTAGACTAGTATTTCTTTAATGCTATAGTTTATATAAAAGTCATATTAATATTTTACAATGGACACTTTAGTAAAACAAAATATCTGATTAACTACATTTATGTATAAACTATAGGCTCTTGTAAAAGTCTATAGAAAAAGTTTATATATATGTATATAAATATGGTTATTTAGACATTTTAATTTTACTAAATTGTACATCGTATACCCTTATTTAAAATTATACTATAATACTCGTATAACTATCGTCAACACTCGTGTATAAATACTAATCGGTGAATCCTTAACAAAGACCTTCTCAGGTGGGCTTTTTCGTATTATTTTATTTTATTAATGGTAGACTCAAATAATACCAAGTTCACCCACTAACTAATTAAAAGTTTATAGCATAGTTTTAAATTAATTAAACCGTGCATAGTTTAAAATGATTACATTGAAAAAAAACTGATCTACTTTAAACATGTATATGCTATAATCCGTAAAAAAACATTAAAACTAAGTACGGATAATAGACGTAATGCAAATATTGTGTTTATATAATTAAAGTACATTTTTAATTATTAACATTTTACATTGCGTACATAAAATAAACATAATGATACGAGACGTGGTTGACGTGATACATGTATATACTCGTATATTTTAGTGTATTTATAATACTTTTTATTTGATATGTACGACCGAGTTCAGGAATATAAAATATTATGAATTTCGACAGTTCAAAACTATCGTAAAGTATCGTAAATATTATTTTCATATATTTCTTCCGCTGTATACTGAATGCATGTACGATTAAAAGTAAAAATAAAAAACGTCTATAAATTATTGTACAATCATTTGAATAAATAAACAAATTTATATTTGACACTTCCAGATATTAGTAATTTATATTAAAGGTTAATAATTACATGATGCATAATGTGAACTGCACATACTCACCGGTTTCGATCATTGTTCACGAATTATAAATTGTATACAGAAAAATTGAAAATTGAAATGTGTACAGTTTAAAATTTTAAAAATTCTTTCTTAATAACTTTTTCTTCCCGAACAAAATAAATTTATTGGATTTTAAATAAATTATTATTGGAATTGTTGTTCATTTTCTCATTAAAATGGCATCTGCCGGTTTTAAAATTGTACTTGATTTCTACGACTGAAATGCATTATTGTAAAACAATATAAAATTGATAATGAGATTAAATATAAAAATGTTTTTCGTTATAGAACAAAAATATTAACACATTTTCATAATTGTGTTAAATATTATACGTTTGAAATTTATTTTTTTTAAATGTAGTTGAAGAACCATATAAAGCAATATTAAAATCAGATTTGTACAGTTGAAAAAATTCTTAAAAAATAGAAATAAAATAATTATATTAACAAATAGAAAAATACTAATAAAATAAATTATTTAACAATAGTTATATTAAATAATATTAAATAATAATTTAGAAAAATACTTTTATAGATAATTTTTAAGGATCTTCATTATAATTTGGATAACTTCACTCTTTTAATTGAACTAATCATTAACTACAAATCATTGTAAATTGTAATATCAAATTGTCTCTAAGAAATAATGATCTTCTATATAATTGAAATAAACAAAATATATAAATACTAATATACTAATGTACAGTGAAACCTCCTTAACGGGCACCTTTAAATGGCGGACACCTCCGAATAGCGTTCGTTTTTATGGGAACGGGGACATTTTCACTACTTTCATGTAAGAAAATCCCTAAATATCGGACATTCTAAATAACGGACACTTTTATGGCAATTTAATTTTAATTTTGACAATTTTTATCGTAAATATAGAATAATCATTGAATGCCAATTTAATCTAATTTTACTAATATGTATTATAAATTATTTTATAATTATAGTTTATCTTATCTGTCCATTGATTCATCGCGTCGATGAAACATTTTTCTAGATTATGTTCTGTGAAGTTGTATGTGTATATGTATGGCTATAAAAATTGCTATTACTTTACCTGCAACTTCATGTTCAGTAGAAAGATCTTTCAGGTAATATTTTCTATAAATTTCTCATTTTTTATTCGGTATATTATTCTTATAAAATAAATTGTCATTATATTTTTAGTACATTACGTCGTTTAAAGACATGGCTGAGAAACAGAATGGGAAATGAAAGTTTAAGTAGTTTAAGTCTGATCAGTGACGTAATTGTAGGGGGGCAAGGTTGGGCAAGTGCCCCCTCTGACCATTTTTTGAGAGATAAAGGTATAATTTGCCCCCCTCCCTCAGATAATCCAACAGTACAAATAGCACCTTTTATTAATGAACTCTTATGGATATTATTTAACAATATTGGTGCCTAGTACATGCTATCTACAATTTATGTTTATCTAAATCATAAAATGAATTAAAAGACTTATGTAAATTCTTACAATTAGATATAGTGTATAAAATGCATACAATAAAAATATGTTTTAACTGATGAGGGGGAGGATTGTCAGGGTTTTGGTGATAATAAATATATTATATATCCCCCTCTAGGTTTTTTCCCAGTTACGCCACTGGTCTGATTAATATTCATCGAAAAAGATACGAAATTAAAGAATATTTTTAATACAGCAATGAGAAGGTATTATTGAAAAGTTTATATTGAGTTCTAGGTGGTTGGCATTGCTTTTCAATGATTAATAATGTATTAATGTAAACAATAATATACATTTTTATTAGAAGTAATAAATAAAATGAGTTATGTTTTAAATATATTTTATTTTACCCATCATTGATGATAAATAATATATACCATTTAATTAGTGTTAGGGGGTGTGAGGGGCAAAGCTCCCCTCCACAATTTATATTGGCACTAAAAATATTTTGCACCTAGTGAGCTACATCTCTGCGGGCGTGCCTGTTCCTCCCCTCCTCTGAATAGCGGACACCTCTAAATAACGAACAAAATTATGGTGACCTAGAGTGTCCAGTATTTAGAGGTTTCACTGTATATATATTATAGTACTAATATACAACTAAAAATATACTATTTTACGCAATCTCATAATTAATTCAATAGTTTTAGAAATCAAACTACAATAATTATACTACAATAAAAAAATGTTTGGAACTACTTATAATGACAGACATTAATAATTAATTTTCTCATTTTTTAAATACAAGTTTAAAAAAATGAATTTAAATCTTCACCAGAATGTGATGTCTCCATCTTACAAACGTAAAATATAGAAAATATGCATTAAATCATAATCGATTTTATTTTGTTACCTAGCAATTGAATTAATCTAATATATTATCAAACTTAAAAGGAAGAACATTATCTGTGTTTGTGTGTCGAATTTCTATGATATTTCTGTTTTCAAATGAGTTATGCGTAGTTAAAATTTTAAAATTTAATAAAACTCATAACTTGCCCAGAAATTAAAATAACGTAAGATACTGATGTATAAACACAGAATATGTTATTTTATTTAGGTTTGATAATAATAGGCGAGTTTATAAAACTTTCAATATAAAATGGGTTCTACTTGCTATGTCGTATTTTAGTGAGACGGAGGCAGCACATACGAGCGTAGTGTGCTCATAAGACATAATTGGTTTTGTCAAAAACATTTAAACTTTGTACGTCATGGGGTGTATGTATCAATATAGCAACGGAATGGAAGATAAAATAATTATTACAATATTGATGATAACGATTACAACGTTCTAATCATAGACATATTAAGATATATCTTAATATGTCTATGGTTATAATAATGGACAGTAGCCAAATGCTAACGACCAATTAACTAATATAAATATATTTTCTTTCTGATAGTATGATGTTCATATATAATATAAATCATAAAAATAAAATATATTATGTAAATATACTTTTGGCATTTGTGTAGCAGGTGATCTACGGCTTCTTTTTAGGTGTATCAGGTGATCTACCGTATTATACAAGGTGTAGCTGACATAGGCGTAACTTGGAAATTTATTAGGGATTCCAACAAAAAGGGTATCCGAGGATAAACACCACTTTACTACCTACATATCATTATATAAAATTATTAATTTTCTAAGATTATGTTAGATAAGCGAAAATTTAAAATTAAGATTTAAAAATAAAATAAAATATTATAGTAATATAAAGTAATATTTATAGTAATATAGCTATAACCAGCTGTTTTGTACTTAATTTAAAACAAGATATGTTAAAAACCAGAGGGGGCACTGCCCTTTCTAATTTATTCTAGGAGGTATTACCCCCCCCCCCCCCCCCATTTGACCCCTTTAGTTTACGCCTATGGTTGGCAGGGCCGTTCTGAAGATGAAAATCAAGGGGGGGGGAGGTGAATAATATGAATAATGACGACTACAATTTTTTTACTTAATGCATGTAGTATAATTAATTATATGTAGTCATATTTTTACTTTTTAACATGTATATATATGTCAGTGTCGCACGTTCTTAAAATTATATGTATATATATATATAAATAATATTTTATATTGTATAATAAGTAGTTATATAAATTTCATTAGTGTGTACATTGTATTACTAAATATGTAATTTGTTTTCCGTAAGTTAAATTAGGTCCTTCTTGGATATAAAGAAACAAGTCCGACTACCGATTGGTGTTTTCATTGGGGGGGTAACACCCCCTCAAAAAAAAACACCCCTTCGGGACGGTCCTGATGGTCGGTGATCTACAATTATTATTACCTATTATTATACGCACATTATCGCAGACCGCAATGGGACAGTATTGCGATAACGTTTAATGACATTTACAAAATAACTACGAGTCATTAGCAGTGTTGTTGGATAGATTAGTTTCAAATTGTTCGTTGGTCAGAGTTTGTCTATAATGCGTGCGTTTGAATTTTATGAAATGTTTATTGTAATTGAAATTATAACTATATTTGGCTAATTATTTTTTATTCTTATATTTGACGAATATTTGTATTATACGACGTACTCGTAATAAAAAATATAATGTGTTTTTATACTATTAAAACGTAGATCACTCTTCCTGAATTCACAGATCACCCACCCACCGGTAGATCACCTGCTACACAAATGCCATACTTTTATTCGTGGATAAATAGTATTTTTATTTTCTTGTCAATAATAATTTGGAAGCAACTAAAATGCTGTAAAGAGACGAATGAATGGTAGTCTAAAAAAGTTTGAATAATTTGCATACTACGTATGTAATTATTTAGTGCAAAAGTTATATTATATCATCAATTTTAAAAGATTAAACATTTCAAACTTTTATAATGAAATAGGTTAGAGTTTTACTTAAAACAATTTAAAATACACAATAATATTAAATAAACAATTTACTAAAATATCAATGTAACGCTATCGATGCATTAAACATTTAATTTTTTTCATTGTAAATATATTTTAGACGCGCAAAAGAAAAACGGCTTAAAAAGGACGCAGGCAGATCACGCTGGAGTCAATATTTCAGAACCATGAAAGGATCGATATCACCTCGAAACGACAAAGATGATCTTAAAGTTGATCTTGATTCAAATTTCAGTCATTCGCACGGTATATCATTGAGAAAGTATTTTAGTTAGTATTTTATTTATGATATAATGTTGTTTAGATTTAGAAAGCAATGACAGTTATGGAACTAGCACATTGACCATAGATCAAGAACATAGCTCTCCTTTACCCGGGAGTCATCACCATAAGTTTTTGCCCGGCAACTCTTCACCATCATCACATCAATACATGTCATCACCCACTCAACACGTAACCACATTTACAGCAGATAACGGTTACATCACAGTAGGCAAGTTAAAGAATGAATCTTTTCGCTGTAAAGATACTAAATAGATATAGTAAAAATCTGGAAATGTATTAAATTTGTCTACACTAATAAACATTATCGAAACATAAGGATTATATTAATAAAATATATCCGGATGCGCGTTTATAGAAAATAATACGGAAGGGAACGAACTTGCATACTTATAGTATTTTTAAACCTTGAGCAAAATCAAAGTGTACTAGAACAGACAAATAAACTTGTAAAATTAAATCATAGTTCAAATACTTTAATAGGTTTAACTTTTAAGTATTTTCATTATAATTATATACATTTCATACAATTTGTTATTTATTATCATTTAGTGTGTTTAGATTCAAAGCAAATGTTTTTCCTTTCTATTAAATCATGTAGGTAAAAATTTTCTATTTGTATTTTTGTATACGATTATTGTCTTATTTATCACTTAGTACGCGCAATAAATATGATGCAGTGGAATTTCGCGAACTTAAAGATTAAAATGATTAAATCAAAAAAAAAAAAACAATCCTCACGATACTTCTTACACGATTAAATACATGTAGGTATTACATTTTTGATGATTAAAATTATTTGTCCTTTGTTGTATTCTGAGTAAACGAAATTCCACCGTCAATTTAAACTTCGTACTAGCATTTCAATATTAGAATTTGGTGTTTTTACTTGTACCATTTTATAAGTTATTACTTATTTGTTATTAATAATTAATGAGGTTGTTAATATATCATGTGACTGTGTAATTGAATAATTTAAATTAGTCTAAAAATATAATTATTTTATTTATTTTTATACTCATAAAGTAAATCTAGTTTTCCGTCCTAAGATTTAAGAATTCAGTTATGGTCTATTTTTAACTATATGTAAATATTTATTTTTAAGTAGGAACTATATATTACCTTTTTTTAATTTTTTTTATAATTCTAATATTAACTATGGAATAATATACATATTTAACTAATAATATAAAATTAAAATAATAATAATAATAATAATAATAATAATAATAATAATAATAATAA